CCCTGGATGTGCTCACTAAGTTGTGCTAGGAAATCTGGAGGACAGCCAACTGGCCAACTGACTGGAAGAGATCTATATTTGTTCACTTGTATAGAATATAAATTTAATGTCCTGTTTATAAATGGACAAGTATACTGGTGGTGTACTGACCTAAAGGCTGCACATCTTGGGTTGTAGGAATCCAGTGACTGACAGGAGAAAGAGGAATAGTCCCCTCCTGTTAGGTTTCACAGTCTCCACATCCTGATGGAGGAGCACAGTGAGTGAGTGAGAGAAATAGAATGTTAAATTTCCAGTCTGATTCTGGGCATGCCTCCGAAGAATGGCTTTGTGCAAGCTCCACTTTGTCTGGCGCCCTTGCTCATCTGTAGAATACTGAGGGTGGGCTTTTATATCAGACTACATGAATTCTATTTATAATCCGGTTTCTGGATCAGAGAAATAGGACCATTGTCAACGCTAAACATTTTATCAAGAGATTTGTCATAACCTTGTCTATTATCCTGGTTGTTGTTGTTTGTTGTTATGTGCTCTCAAGTTGTTTGCAACTCATAGCGACCCAATGTACAACAGCCCTAAACTGTGCTCTATCCTGTGCCAATCTCATTGCCTCTGACACACCCATCCCAATTACCCCAGTCACTGAATCAATTCACCTCCTGCGCTGTCCCTCTACTTAACCCAGCATGATGTCCCTCTCTAAAGACCTGTCTCTCCTTACAACATGTCCAAAGTATGTCAGACAAAGCCCCAGAATCCTTGCCTTCAAGGAGCAGCCTGGTTTAACCCTCTCTAGGATGAATCTGTTTGTTTTCTTGGCAGTCCATGGTACATTCAATACTCTTCTCCAGCACCACGGCTCAAAGGCGTCAATTCTCCTTCTATCCTCCCTAGTCATTGCCCAACTCTCTGATGCATAACAAGTGATTGCAAAAACCATGGCCTTTATCAGGCGCACCTTAGTCTACAGAGAGGCACCATTGCTCTTGAGTACTTTAGAGAGGTCCCTAACCGCAGACTTTCAGGGAAGAAAAAGTGAAATGGGAACCCGCACAGGTGAGTTGTGTGGCCTGTGGGCTTTCAGGTGGTGATGACACAAGATTCTCTCCTCAGAGTAATCTTTCTCACCATCATTTGGCAGTGATGGTGCGGATAAAGATATTGATGGCTTGATGATCAGCTAGCCAGTATGTTGGGTAACAGATTCCAGATCAAAGATGGTCTCCGTAAGTTTTGATTAAGAGCCATATTTGACAGAGCATAGCAGTCCTGCAGTGCGTCCTGCACAGGGTGGGCGTCAGGGACCGGCCCACTGTGCGCTGGCTTTCCTGTGACCTGCGGCCCAAGCTCAGAAAGAACCAGACTGCTCTTTCTCTCGGCCTCGCTGTTTTACTGTTACTATGAGAGCAGCCAATATTATTAGGGTTTAAAAGTACATCCCTCTAAAGAAATTTTAAGCCAGTGTAATCAAATTATGTGTATGTGTATTTTTCTCCCCTCTTCCCCATTTTTATATAAATAGGGCATGTTGTTCACCCTGTTTTTACCTTGCCTTTCCCCTCCCCTTCCAACTATTTAGCTTGGAGGTTTTTCTGTATCAGTATGCAAAGCCATTTTTCTCTTACGTGGTTGCACAGCACATAGTCTTCTATTGACGGGCATTTGGCTTGTTTTCACTCTGAAGTATTACCAACAGTGCCATAGTCAATAGCTTTCTTTGCACACAGCTTTGATTTTTTTCCTTTTCAGTATACATGAATTTGCAGTCAGAGTGGATCCTTAAAGTGGTATAGCTTCATCAAAGGGACCATTTGACTCTCTCAAGCTAGTATTGTCACCTTTGTTCTCTTGTGTCATAATCATAGATCGAGAATGAATTTTACAGCTGGAAAGGGATCTGTTGTTGTGTGCTGTCCAGTGTGAACGTAGTCATAGCTGATTCCCCAGTTAGTTGTCAGAGGCTGTAAATCAAACAGGAGAAGATTGCCCATATTTCCTCCCCCAGCTGCTGGGGGATTCAAACCACACACCATCAGGTTAGCAACACAGCGCCTTTCCACTAAGCCAGCAGAGAACTGCTTTCTTAGGGAAGGGATTTGAGTACTATCTAGTCCAGTGCTTTTCAGACTGTGGTGTTACTGACCCCTGAGCAGCCAGTGCATCACCTGAGAACTTTGAGAAATGCAGATTGAGGGGAGGTTGAACTTTGACATGGATGAAAGTCTGGGGAGCCAGCTTTTTGTGTGAACAGAGGATTTTATATATGGGAAAGCTAGTAAGACTATTGAAATCATTTGTCAAAATTAGGTAGCTTGGACGGCCTCTGTTACCATTCCAGTATAACTTGCTATTTGCTGTATCATATTTTAAGTCTGACATTTTGTTATTATTATTGTCAGTATTTATAAAAAAGTCATTGATTTACTTTTTAAAATTTATGTTTAACTCTAGGGTATTTTTATTGTTGTTCTAAATTAGCTATTTTTGAAATACAGTAAATCCTGGTGAATACTTTTGAGTTCTCCCAAACAATTCTTTAGATTTCTCTGACTTTCTTATACCAGGCCTTATTAAATGGATTTACTGTTATTTTTCACAAGCATGTCATATGTTGTGTTGACCTGTGGCTTCTGACTCCCTTTCCAAACCCCTCACAACAGGCTCCTCTATTCCTTGCATTTTTGTTATGTACCTTCCAGTCAGAACCGACTCAGGGCTGAAACCTTGGGAGGAGACGACCCGTTTTTCTCCCCGGGAGCAGCTGGTGACTTTGAACCATGTGCCTTTGGTTTAACAGCACAGTTTCTTACCACTAAACCACCAGAGCTCCCTCTCTATTCCTTAGGGTAGAATTTGCAACCTTCCCTTTCCTCTCATTTCTATTATGGAAATTTAATTTTCGGTTAGGTTGGTGTTAGACTGGTTGTGTACATCACGTTCAGAAATCAGTACACCTTAGCCTTGCCGTGGAGGCTTTGTTTTCATTGACCCACATGCTTGACATCCATCATTTCAGGGATGTATGTTCCTCTGAGTTTCTTGCTAGCATGTAGGCTGTTTGCAGGCAAGTACAATCTATTTATTAAACATCACTTCAGGCTCCTTGCATCATTCCTTGTACTCATGAGTTAACGGATGGCTGTTGGTTGCATTCATGTGCACAGTTGGAAGTCCTCAGAATAGAAAGCATCATTTGTGGCCACTCCCTACATCTGTAAACCCAGCCAGCTATGCTATAAACATGCTGCTGACGACAGTGGAAGGTAGTTGTAGATTAAGATGATCATTTTAAACTCCTCAACTAAAATTTACAGCTGGAAAAGTAACTGACCCATCAGTAATCCTATATTTTGGTTGTATGATGTATCAGGCATAATGTTCTGTATTGATGATGGTGAGTTTCTAGGGTTATTTTCATCAATGACGAACAGCATGTTTTTACCAAGGATATTGCCTTATGCCTGCATATGTTTAAGTAATATGCATTTCCCCCCTCCTTGTAATAATGAAACTTAGAAGTATCGTGTTAATTGGAATGGAAAACTTTTCAAAATTCTTTAAAAAATTGGGAACTCCGGTGGCCTAGTGGCAAGAAGCTGCACTACAATCCCAGAGGCGCATGGTTCGAATCCACCAGATGCTCTGCCGGGGAAGGAGGGACAATCTCCTCCTGTACCAGTCAGATCTGATTTGACGGTACACACAAATAATAAAATTAAAAAAAAATTCTAGTCATTATTATGAGTTTGTCATGTTGAATAACCAAAAACGAAGGTCTGGTGTTTATGATGCACCTTTTAATGCATTAAACGTTAAAGAAACACTTCCCATGTGCATCAAAACATCTTTAACATGATAATAGTAGTAATAATGTTTTGTTGTGCATCACAAAGTAGCAAGCACTCCTTAATTATTACTAACTAGAGCAAGTACCTTGAATTTTAAATATACTAGGTATTATAGTAGTTAGGAGGAGGACTTAAGGTTGGTTGGATATTATCCAAATTATTTTGCAGAACATGACCATGTTGTTGTTGTTGTTGTTGTTGTTGTTATGCAATGTTGAGTCAGAATCGACCCGTAGCTAACCCTCCAGCAGATTTTCCATGCAGGTTAATCTCACAGGAGGAGATTGCCTATCCTTCTCCCTTGGAGCAGCTGGTGGCCTCGAACCATATGCCTTCAGGATTGCAGTGCAGCTTCTTGCCACTAGGCCCCCAGAGAACATGACTGTAGCAGAGTATATATGGTTTATTACATATAATAGATTGGACATTTTTATTTTAATTTTTCCTTGAAGCATTTTGGCTTTATATTTCACACAACATTTCATTCCTTTGAGCAGTGCTCAGAGTATGTTTTAACAGTTTTCAAGAACTTGTAGAAAGAAGCCACATCTTGGAGATGACTTTTCAGATGGTGGTTTCCTGGTAGAGACTGGGATTTTGCTTCCCTGAATTATTTCCCCACGTATCTCTCTTAGGAAGAGGAGATGTGTGTGCCTGCCTCAGGGCCAGAACCAACCGTGTTGAAAGAATATGCCGTTGTATAATTATAAAATTATTTTTTAAGGTTACTTTTCTGCCTAGTTTATAATTTCTGCTGCTTTGGGGGGCATGTTTTTTGTTTTGAACTTTTTGAATGTTTTCTCATTTTTTTTAACAAGTCCTGGAGCCCTCACAGTGTCCTGGGCATTCGTGGGGTAGAAAAATGACGGGTCTGTTTTAGGAGTTTCAGGTGGCATAAAAGATAGATATTACACAAGTGGAACAGGAGGCCAGAATAAAAGTTCATAATGCAGCATAACTAATTTTTTCCTGTTTGGCGTCTTTACTAAAGTTTGTCTACAAATTAACACAGTTTGTCTGCCATCAGATAGATACCATGGTATTACTGTCATCAGAAGTCAGCTTTGCTAAAGTAAAGCTGTGTCTTAGCTTTATCTTTTTGTTTCTAGCACCCATTTCCTACCAAAACTTAGAGTGTTTCTTTCTTCCTAGTGAACATTTGTCCTGTGCTTTCACCTTCTTTCTTCATGGGGAGAGTAATGTCTGCACAAGTGTGGAGATTGCCCAGCACCAGCCAATCTATCTGATCAGTGAGGAGCATATACACATGGCTCAATCTTCACCTGCACCATTTCAAGGTAAGTGCGTGGGATTGTCTCCCCAGCACCCCCATCCCCAGCAGAGGACTAGTAATTTGACCAGGACTGTCTTACAGGATGAATCATTACAAACAAAGTCAGTTTCTGAAAGAGAAAGGAAAGATTACCATTTCATAAGTAAGCCATAATAGATGCTTGGAGAGTTTGGTGGCCTAATGCTCTTCTGGCTCGATGATGGTAAGTCTCCAGCAGTTTGAGTCCACCAGCAGCTCCTTGGGAGAAAGATGGACAATATTCCTTTGACAAGAACTTCCAGCCTCAAAAACTCGGTGGAGAGTCCTGAGAGTGTGATCTTCTTGGTTTGGTGAATAATTGTTTGCTTCCTCCAGCTTTCATATATGCAGCATGGTCTCTTGTGAGATAGTATTAAAGAATGAAATGAAGAGAATTCCCTTTATAACAAAAGATCAGTCTTCAAAAAGTCTAATCTACTGGATAATTGACAGATTCTCTCAATTAAAGGGTTTCATTGTTTTGTATGTTAACACAGTTCTAGGAATGTAATGATACAGTGCACTTAAAACCAACGAAGAAGTTTATCTTTTGCTTTTCAAAGAGAGGAGCGAACTGGGGGGAATGGGGTAAAGAAAAAAGTACAATAATGAATGAATGAAAATCCAAAATATCTGTAAATGTTCATTAAAATTAATAAAATAAAATTAAAAAACAAACCAACCATCAATATTAAACTTAGTCTTTACAATTTCAGCACCATACCAGATTTCAGAATTGTGTACAGAAATGAAACCAAACTCCCGGTGATCAAGTTGATTCAACTCAAGACTCAGAACAACCCTCCCTGGGGTTTCTGAGACTCTGAGTCTTTATGGAAGGGATCTGCCCATAGGTCTCTTGCTGGGATGCCAAAGGATTCGAACCCCTGACCTTTTAATTAGCAACCCAACACATAAAACATCACACCACATACAGTACCTTCACTGTTGCTGATCCTAGGCGTTTAATATTTTCATTGTCTCAGCTTAAGTTACCACCTAGATAACTGTGCATTCTAAATCTTTACTTTTGTCTTTGGAGATTACAGTTTTCTGTGAAGAACTGTTTTTAAAATGTTCTATTAGGTTGAACTGTATGGAAAGCTCTCCTTTGGTTCAGTTTCTATATGAATGCCAGAAGTGCCTGGTTGAAATAATGTATCAGACAGAGTGTAATTTTATTTAAAAGTGATATTTTAACAAACTTTATAAGGTATGACTTCAACAGTGTGCCATATGAATATTCTCTAACAAGATAGTTGCCCTAAAAACATTAAATCATCATTAAAACTCTGTCCTCATTGTGTATACCTCCACTCCCAGTGCCATTAGATTTGAACTGTGTGCTTCAACCTGTAATTTTGGGTGTTTTTGTTAATGAACAACCATTTGTTGTATTCAAAACAACCCAGTTCTTGGAGTTGTACAGTATACATATTATCAGAATTATTTAGCTGGACCATACATATTTCCTTGAGTATGAAAGTGCTGGAGACTATATGACTTTGTCTTAAACTTACTTAAAATGATGAGTGTGTGTTTTTAGCAGTAAACAGTTTAACGGTAGGAATCCCTAGTAGTGAGGGAAGGAACTAACCTCCTGGATTGGGAAAGGTACGGCTCTATGGTCCCTCGAGTCCACTTAGTTTCAGTGTTAACAGTTTGTCAGAAACGTCTGGAATCATAGACAGTTCTGTGGGTGTGGCCCTGCTCATTCCCCCCAATTGTATGGCAGAGGCAGGTCCGCAGGGCAGGTGCAGGCCTGTAGATAATTACGGTTAACATAATTATCCAAACTGATGTGGGAATTTCTTCCAAGTGTTACTGCAGGAAAATTGCCCTTGATTAAATGTGTTAGTTGGAGTATTTTCATCTCATTTGGATCAGTGAGGAAGTGCAAAAAAGCACCAAGAACTGTGTGGTTTCTTCATTATCTTGATGGATATGACATCCCATACAGTTGTTTTATATATAGCTATCCATAGATATATGTACATGTAGCTAGATAATCTATGTAATAACTACATTGAAGTGTTTTGGTGGTGCTGGTGTTTTTCAGGGTTTGGGTTTTTTTTTAAATCAAGATTATGTAAAAGTGACCTTTATTCCCCAGAAAAGTATAGTCTGAAAGGTTGCAAAACTAGCCCAGAGGCTAAGAACTGACTGGGTTATTCATAGTGTGATGTTAGTTGTATTTTTGTGTCTAGCTCAGTGAACATGAAATCAAGGTCAAACACTGGAAGAGGAGCAAGACAGCAGGCCTTTGGGTGTTGAGAGAGATTTTAAGTTACTGCATCCAGAGACCTATAAAATTGTAACTCAGCATTACCTTTCAGGCTGGTACATCAAGAGTCTTCTGCCGGTGGCAGTTTTACTTCTTGCACCATCACAGACTTGTCTGTAGTCTTCAGAACTCTAGGAAGAATGATCAAATTCTAAGCAGTTTGAGGGCTATACATACTGAAAGTTTTAAATGCAAGATACAGTGTTTGTTTAAGCTGTTGTTAAACAGATATGTTATATTTCAGTGTACAAGTTATATACTCTATGTTGTAATAATACTGTCATTGAATCGATTCAAAGTCATGGTGACCCTAAAGGACAGAATAGAATTACCCTTTTGGGTTTTCTGGACTTGCAGTCTTTACAGACAAGGACTGCCATATCATTTTTCCTGGAGGGGTTGGTGGAACTGAACCCTTAACCTTTCCATTAGCGACTGTTTAGCCACTGCACCAACAGAGCTCCAGTTTTATTTCCTTCAGATACTATTATCAGTTGAATGGCCTATAAATAATAAAAATTAGTAAAATGAAGAACTTTTGAAAAATTGCACTCTAAGAGGGGCTGAGAAATAAAGAGCAACATACTTGAAGGAATGCCATACTTAAGTCCCTTACATGTGGAATGTTGCACTTCAGTAACAATTAGTACTTGACCTGTCACCTCTGTGTCCCTGCCTTTCTCCTCCCGCAGTACTGGTAAGTCCTTATGGCTTAAACGGCACGCTGACAGGCCAGGCGTACAAGATGTCAGACCCAGCCACCCGTAAGTTGATCGAGGAGTGGCAGTATTTCTACCCCATGGTGCTGAAAAAGAAAGAGGAGCTGAAAGAGGAAGAGGAGCTGGGATATGATGATGATTTCCCTGTGGCAGTGGAAGTAATTGTTGGTAAGAGGAAAATATTTTGCCTGAAGAAGTCTTTCCTATCTTCTTGATCTTCCTTAATTTAAAAAGATAATCATTCAGATTCATCAGAATCAAGTTCTGTAATTTTCCCATCTTTTTTATTCTCTTGACATAGTGGTATGTGCTGAGTAGTTCTCTTGCCTGAAGCACCAATGGTCCCTGTATTCCAAATGCTATTACAGGGTTGAACACATAGTTAAACACCTCTTCAGTTCTGAGAGAATGAGACTGAATCACTCTTGGCAGTCACTGCTTCTTGAACACTTCATTTTCAGCACTGAACATGGACTTGGATCACTGGTGTAACAAGCGGGGAGTCTCTGGGAACCCTGTCTCAGACCCGATTCTCTCCTTGCTCTTTCCGTACAGGTGGTGTTCGGATGGTTTACCCTTCAGCTTTTGTTTTGATATCTCAGAATGACATACCAGTTCCTCAGAGTGTTGCCAGTGCTGGTGGCCACATTACAGTTGGGCAGCAGGGACTTGGGAGTGTGAAGGACCCAAGTAACTGTGGGATGCCTCTTACTCCCCCCACCTCTCCAGAGCAGGTTATCATAGGTGAGTATTCCAGCCTAAGATGTGCAGGGTGGAAGGGCGTCCAGAAAATCCCATCGCACCCCTTCAGCCACCAAGATGGGAATAGATGAGAAAATTCACTTGCAGGAAGTCTTGATGGACGAGATGCAGGAAGGGAGTTTAAAACAGAGAAGAAAATTTTAAACAAAGTTTATGTGCTTTAGAATTTTAATTGTGCCTGTATTATATTTTCCTTGATTGAAATTTAGTTATTTCTCTTAATTACTGTACATGTGCCTGCACCTTTCCACACAGAGACAGGAGACAACATGCAGGCCACCCTTTTTATAGATGCTACAATCAGAGAATGACCACAGATTTGCCCAGATGGTCATTACCAGCCCAGGGGCAAGTCTGGGATAAATGCTTTTTCCCTATTACGTTACTCTGGTACTCAGGAGCATTTGACAGATGTGATATGTCTGCAGTGATAGTAACTACTAATTACATGTGAAAGTTTTGACAGTCTGCATACTCTTCCTTCATGGAAAAATTCAGAAATTTTTAAAATTGGTAGACTTTTGCCTTTTTTTTTTTGAATACTCTCTTTCCTGTATCAACTTTTTTGTTGTGATGGCTGATGAACTCATTTTAACTGGGAATCTTGGTCATTTAAAAAAAGGTATTCATTACACCTGAAGTAAAATTAGATTATCTCTGGGCATTTCATATGAGCCATGTTGGTAGGACCATTAGACTAAATATAATCTTGACTCTTAAACTTTGAAAACAAGCTATCAAGTATGAGACACACGAGGGAATTTACCTGGCATGACATGACATAAGGCAGTATTTTAAAGTCAGGAGCATAGTGCTTGACATGCAGTGACTATTCAGCAGCACCTGTGCTAGATCATATCCACTGGGAAGGGTGGGGTTTGTGAGTGGACTCACCTGGTTTTTACATCTGACTGTATCCCTTAAAAGTTGAGGGACACAGTAGAATTCCCATAGTATTTTTGAGTCTCACTTTCTTTCTCTGCTAAATAATACACACTTTATAGTGTTTATAGGCATTTAAAGTGCTTTATAAGCAGTAAAGCAATGTAAGAATGCTAATTTAGAAAATTCAAAGCAATACTTAAAATTCAGTCTCAGCATGAATTAGGAAGTTATCTGGAGGAATCCTTCAATTGCTGGGGAAAGGAGTCTCATTGGACAACACTTTATCTCTGATTTGCCGGAGACACCTATAGACTGAGGTGTTTTTAAAAACATAGGTCTCTAGTTCTGCTATGGTAGCAGAGAATTTAGATGAAACTTTGTCCTAGACTATACATGAGCCAGTTCTTATTAAAATTGCTTTAAACTGGAAAAAGAAAACTCCATAGTCCATAGTCTTTTATATTACTAATCATCAAGAAGGTAAATTAAGACTTCTTGTTGTATATCATGGAACTGATCCATAGCTGACCCTCCAGTGGGTTTTCACAAAATCTCATCAGAGAAGGTTGCTCATCTTTGTGCTGTGAAAAAGCTAGTGCGTTCAAACCTGGTACCTTTACTTTGGCAGTGCAGTTTGTAGTCATCAGCAACCTGCATTATGCAGATAACACAGTGTTGCGTGCTGAAAGTAAAGAGAACTTGAATTGCTTGCTTCAGGGGATCAAAGAGTACAGCTTTCAATATGGATTACATCTCAACATCAGGAAGAAAAAAAAAACTTCACTGCTGGGCTGCTAAGTGACATCATGATAGGTGGACAAAAGATTGAAATCGTCAACATTTTGGTCTTACTGGGATCCACTGTCAATACCTCTTAATACAGTTAGGAAATCAGAAGATGTAGTAAGAAAGTCTGCTTTCATGGACTTCTCCAAAGTACTGAGGAGAAATGATGTCAATTTAAAGGTTAAGGTTTGCCCGATTCAGGCCATGGTCTTTCTGATCACTTGCTATCCATCTGAGAGCTGGGCAGTGAATAAGGATGACCAAAGAATTGATGTCTATGAATAGTGGTGTTAGACAGGAGTACTGAGCATCTGATGGACGGCTACAAGAACAAACATATGTCTTGGGCAAAGTGAGGTCAGACTGCTCCTTGGAGGCAAAGATGGCAAAGTTTTGCCTCACATATTTTGGGCATGTTGTTAGGAGAGCCAATTCCCTGGAGAGGGACAGTAATGCTTGGAAGAGTGGAATGTCAGAGAAAGAGAAGAAGACCGTCGATGAGATGGATTGACACAGTGACAGCAGCAATGGATGTGACTGTGTCAGAGATGATGAGGATGGCTAGAGATAGAGCAAGATTTAGATCTGTTTGTTCTTAGGTCGCCATGAGTGATACTCAGGTAGACAGCATGTAACAACAACAAAGCCACCAGAACATTCTCTATAAAGAATAGAATGTTCAGTATTTTTTGAAAAGTTTTAATCTGTTTTTTAGTCCCAAGTTTGGAGTTTAATAGTTATATTAAATTTTCAAGTGATCTGATTTTTCTAGTTGGTTGATTTTCTTTTACTTGAAACTCGGGGCCATTTGTAACAGACTTCAAGGCAGCCCCTTTGTCTAGGTGCCACCCTTAAGTTTGGTTCAAGCTTGAAAACTCACAATGTAAGAAACAGATTTTATTTCTAGTGGGTTTCAGTATGGACTTATTTCTGTACACCTGCCAATCCTTCCGTTCAACACTTTGGCCTGCGCTTAGCCCTTATTAAATCCCCTGATACTGACTGAACTCTTAAGTAAACTGCTGCTGTCTCTTATGGTGATCCTAAGACCATTTGACCCCTTTAGTGAACATTGTAGCATATTTTGGGGAAGAGAAGGTATAGTACAGATAATGATTTCTTTCTTCCCTTTGTCTTGTTTCATAATTGGCAGTGAATGACCAAAATTTCTTGATTCTCAATTTGTTT